GGTGTGGGGTGAAGGCTTTTAAAATTTATAAGTATATAAATTGTAAGTATAAAAAATAAAAGCAGAAGAGAGATGCCCGTATGGCTCAGTGGTTAGCGCGTTGGTCTTGTATTACAAGTAAACCAAAGGTCCTCGGTTCAAATCCGAGTTCGGGCACATTTTTTGAATTTCTAGCTATTTTATTTTTTCTATTTTTACATTTCCAATCCATTATTCAATCCACAATATTTTCCAACCACTTTACGTCACTATACATTTATATACTACATTTACCATTCAAGAATATCTTTTTGTAAACAACATTATCCCCTCATCCTTCTTGAGACTTCTCTAATAGTCTATAAAGAGCTGTTCTATGCACTCTGGAACCCAATTCTTGCACTTTATCATTCAGTCTGCAAAACATTTGATTATGGATAACTATCACTTCACTGTGTTTAGTGACGCAATAAATTAGATTGTTGTCCTCTAATGATAAACAGTTTGATGTACACAATTCTTTACTAGGTAATTGGCTTCTTTGTTTGACTCAGCTCACTCATTCCGGCTCGCTGATCAATTGGCTTTAATTCTAACCCTTAGTGTGCTTGGCTGGCTCGTGCAAAGGTATTGGCTCTTGGAAAGTGTATGGTGTATTTACTGTGGGGGAGACAAGATTTTGTTGATTTTTGAGGGCTATCGTCATCATCTGTCTCAAGATAGCCTTTGAGCTTATAAATATCAGCAAGACCCGGGTGAAAAAGTTTTCTAACCATCCTGTGTTCCTAACATCCCTATTTATATTTACTTTTCATTTGATAAAGTCAGCACATATACCCATCATGTCTAACCCTCGTGTTTACTTCAAGGTCGCTGCCAACGGTGCTCCTCTAGGTCAGATCACCTTCGAGCTCTTCAAGGACACCGTCCCCAAGACTGCCGAGAACTTCCGCGCTCTCGTAAGTTGACTATAATCAACTGCTATCTCTTCTATAAAGCAATGATGGCAGCTTCGTCTAAATCGCAAACATTATAATAAACTGACTCGAATTTTATCTTCTTTTCTCTATAGTGTACCGGCGAAAAGGGATTCGGATACCAGAACTCTACCTTCCACCGCGTTATCCCCAGATTCATGCTCCAGGGTGGCGACTTCACCAACCACAACGGCACTGGTGGCAAGTCCATCTACGGTAACAAGTTCGAGGACGAGAACTTCTCCCACAAGCACACTGGCCCCGGTCTCCTTTCCATGGCCAACGCTGGACCCAATACCAACGGTTCTCAGTTCTTTGTCACCACCGTCCCCTGCCCCTGGTTGGATGGCAAGCACGTCGTTTTCGGTAAGGTAGCCGACCAGGACAGCTTGGCCGTTGTCAAGAAGATCGAGTCCTACGGTTCCGAGACTGGTGCTACCAAGCAAAAGCTTGTCATCACCGAGTGCGGTCAGCTCTAATTTCTCTTTTGAGTTATCTTCCTATAAATATATTTTCTGCTTGTCCTATATTGTGACCATCAACAAATAACCACAACTGATGACCAATTAGTTATTTTCCAGTGTTTACTATGAATATCCGGGTTTATCATTTAATTTCTACATGGAGAATGCCCTCTACATAATTAAAGCACATGTGGATCATTATCTAAAGGGCCAATTTTTACTAGTAGGTCAGCTTCATCATGTATATTGTTCGGCCTATACTATCATTGACCTGTGTATTGTCATGCATAGTATGAATTTAGCCCTTCAAAGCAATATCCCATGTTTTTCTGATATTGGAAGAACGTAATATATTCGCCTTATACATATTTCTCGCCACACTATGTCTTGTCATTGTTGATGTTTGCAGTGTTTAAATTTTGTTATGTGGGACTTCGGGGGGAATGATAGATCTCTGCCTTTACTTTTCATCATTCGGTGATGTCTGAATATATTTTTTTGATGGAGTCGATTCCACACCCTATAAGGCCAATGGCTAAACGAGCCGTCTACTAAAATAAGCTCAAGCTTTTTCAGCTAAGGCACAGCACACTTCTTATGCTGAAAGAGGGCCTTACTGAGGAATTGCTATCTCTATGGTGTATGGTGACTCCAAAGTTGAAATAGAAAAGTACACCTCCACTTCGTTGACCTCTACATCTCAATTCCATATAATATTTTCTCTAGTCATCCAGATAACAAACTTAGTTTCAGAGTTTTACTTGATAGCAGAAATAGCTGGATAAAACAAAAAAGGAACAACCAGAGCATAAATATACTCAACCTGAGCCTATACCATATACTACTGCGGAAGCTATCTAAATATAGTGTTGCTGTTACCACTACTACTACTACCAAAAGCTCCAGTTTTGGAAAAGGAAGTCCCCAAACATGTCAAAGCCACTAGACTATGAGGCTAGGGATGGTGGCTCTTATCAAAGCCAAGCTAGTTCTACGAGGCTAAAGAGAAACGAATCCTTTGAAAGCGCTGAGGGCCACAAAAGGCAGCGTGCTGAGGGAGAAGGGGTGTTGGGCTACAATAATCCGGATATTACACACTCACAAATCCACAATAATAGAGATGTTAGTCATTATGTAATGCCCTGCTCGACAATTAATCCTGATGCAGCAAGCTTTGAAAGGGGTCATGTGGGTTTAGGCCAGGATAGTCATATGTATGACTACCAATCTGGTGGAGCTCACTCTAGCCAGGATCATATGCAGAATGGGGTGTCGGACTACTTTCTAGAGGCAAGGTCTAGGGAAGAAGAACGCATATCTGGCTTCGAATCAGCATATGGAGCAAGAACCGAACATTTGGGTGTTCTAAACTTTCCAGAGCAGGAATGTGAGTCTGTAAGCCTAGATAGGACTAAGCTAAAGGCAGAGTCATTTTTTGGTTTAGTTGAATCTACACGAGATGCTTTTTTGCTGTTCGAAGCAGCGCGGAACAACAAAATACCACGGATAACTAGAAGACTCACAGACAGTGAGAAGCGATCTCTCCGTTCAGGATCCGTTTGTATATTCGATGAGAAGGAAGCTAAAATCAAAAGGTGGACCGACGGGCGCTTGTGGACACCATCACGAATAATGGGTAATTTCCTTATATATCGTGAACTAAGCAAAAAGCTCTTGCCGAACAAAGAGGGTCGCGAAGAGCTTGCAAGTCTTGACAGAGAAGGTCTAATAAAAAAGAACCAGGTTTATGTAAGCAACAAGGGAACCTTCATTGTCAAGCCAGATGGGCTGTTCAAAAAGACGATCTCGCTTGTGGTTCCTGATGAGCCACACTTGGTTGATGAAAGTAAAATTACACAGTCTTCTCGTGGCCTAGTTGAGGAACCGGACACATCCAAATGTGTTGGGGGGATGGATGGATTCACGCTAAATTCTATGTCGAGCAATTTTTATAGCAATGACATCAGAGGCATACCTGTAGAAAAGGGAAATGGTAAAAAGAAGGGAAGACACTATCAACATCTTATCGCATATTTTCGTCCTGAGGGTAAGAATGTCTTGCAGTACACGTTTGAATTCTTTTTTTCTGAACTACAACCATCATGTTATTAACTGAAATCTATTTATTAGATTTACCAAAGCTCTCGCCCCCGTCATTTTATCCCAAGTTCCAGAATCAGGGCCTGGATAGAAAGATATTGGAGATGCAGCACTTAAGAAGAGCCTTGAAGGTTGTATACGATAGGGCTTCATATAAGTGGGATGTCTTGCCGGATGAGGAAACCTCTGTTGAAGATATGTGGCCAGAATATGAGAGCAAAGATATAAGTAAATTTCCAACTGTGAAAGGGAAGGTGTCTCATAGAATTGGGTCACAAAGTACAATTGATGCTGCTGTATTCCCTTGCAATGTTGGATCATCTACCAAGGTACATGTGAGTGATCCAAACTATGGCCAAGACCCCGAGAGCCAGACGGATCAGTTTGCAAGCTATTTTGCTCCCGAGCCTTTGCACCATCCAGACAATGCAATACGCTACCCCCAAGTCCTTGTAAATGAACCTAAATATGCGCAAGGCCATAGTGATTCATTGGGTGTTGATATGATTAACCCCAGAGTAAACAACCATGGCGACAGCTACCAAGTTAGTTCTCTAGATCACGGATCCTTTTTTATGTCACAGAATAGCCCAAGACTTGTTGGATATTCACCAGTAATCATGGACAAAGCCTCTCAGCAAGGCAGAAGGTCCACAAAATCACCACCACTTTCTATGGACAAGAGCTCTTTTCCTACTGGAGTTTCTTTTGGTCCGTGGTTTAAAAGGAGTAATAGACTCCAAAGAGACACACCACTATATAGCAAGAAAAGCGTTGCCCCAAATGCACCAGGGTCATCTGACGGCTGGAAAAGGCGCAAAAGCCTTGGTGGAACCGAAGAGCCTTGTTTAGATAGCCAAGTTGCTTTGAAAGATCAGTACTCCAAACATCCCAATAGTTCTCCGATACAGATTCCACAGTCACACCCTACACCCAATCTATTGTTGTTAACCCCATATCCCGACAACACTGCAGGATTTAGTGGGAATTCAGTATTGACGTCACAAGGAAGTTACGATGCTCAGGAACAGCATGACTGTGGGGTGGGCCAAGGTAGCAGTTTTCATCTGTATCCAACCTTAAATCATAACCAGGAGTTATTATACGATTCGCTTGGGCAGACAGCATATCCTGGATTGGCGCAGACCCAGTTCCAGCCCTGCATACAGCCATTTGATGAGCAGGCTAGTCCGGCGGGGCCTGTATGTATTCCTGGTGCAATGTTTGGTATGGCCAACTCCGAAATTTTGTCTTCGAGGCCAAATATATATGATCAGTATAGTATCCAGGAGGTCACCAGAAACGGGAATTTTATGCAGACATCTCTTCAGTCACAGAGTCAAGATTGTAGACACAACTTTGGCGGTCAGCTATATTCCAAATGCTTTGAAGAGAATGATGCATCAGGTAATACTGATTTAGGGACACACCCTTATAACCAAAATTGAATAAAATATAAATCCCTGTGTTGAGTATATGCCGCTTTGTTTCAGTCGATAGCGGTATCTCAGGTGTTACTGCTGATTTTGAGGGGTTGCCTGCAATTTTTTTTACTCTAAATAATATTATATATTATTTTATAACCATTTATAAACCTTTTTGCTTTTGTTTAGTATTATTTTCTGGAAATCTCCTT